CCATCCAGAAGGCAAGCTTATTGTTATTATCAAACAACTTAGGCTGTTCAGCTTAACCTCACTATCTGTCTGCATATCAAACATCTTAGGCATAATATGGAACAGGTATTTTTCATCAAGTATTGATATGTTGAACTCTAAGTCCCTACAGCATATGATTAAAAAACATTTAAAAATTAGAATATATCCTTCCTGGACAATTTTTTTTTTGCGGAACCGGGGATTGAACTCAGGCCCTTGTGCTTGCCAGGGAAGCACTTATTCTACTGAGTCATCTCCCCGGCCTCAAGATTATTTATAACATGTTTAGTTACCAAGTTAAGCTAATGATACCAATGTTCTTAAAGAGAGGATTGAAAAAGAAGAAAAAGGGAGGAGAAAGAAGGAAAGGGAAGGAAAAGCTTATTTAGTCTCGACTTTGAATCTTCATCTGTACACCTGATTTATTGAAACAAGCATTTAAATAGCAAATATCATTTTTCATCTTCTTTGTTCCTTCGAATATTGTGACTCAGTAGATATAACACAAAAATTCAAAGAATGTATTAGAAGCTTAGTGGATAATGATTTTAGAGTGAACAAAGGACAAGAATACTTTAGAACACATTTTCTTTGAGTTGTCAGGATAAAAGGGCAAGACATTCTTCACTTAATAAAGAATTTCATCATAAGTACCTTGTTATGTGATAGACTGTTTTCAAATTTCTCTAGGGTGGAAAGGAAGGAACGTGCACGATTGAAGACAGTAAAGTTTAACGCAAAACCTGGAGTGATTGATTCCAAAGGGGTAAGTACAACCTGACGGAGACCAGATGTTCTCTGAGCCACCATGGATTTGATGATGAGTAGCAGGCTTTCCGTAGCAAATTCTGGAGCCATCAGACAGTAGAGCACTGTTGTAAATGTATTGCTAAAGGTACTGTTGTCATTTGTGATCAAATGGATTAGCTTTATTGTGAGCATGTTAAGTACTGGGGTAAAGCTAGTGGTCAGGATAAATGATATGTTGATGAAAGCGAGGCGATGGCTACGATGAAAAAGAAAATAGTTCAAGTATTTTCATTGCTTTATTCTTTTAAATTGACATTCTAAAAAGTTGAGTTTCATAAAATGTATCTGTCATCAGAAAATACGTTTAATTTGTTTTACATTATAAAGTAAAGGCAATTGTCATGGAAACATTTAAGTGACTATGTGGATTGTTGTGACAGACACAAAAAAAGAAAATTAACAAATCACCAAAATTGGAATATCCATTCACATACATCTTTTTTCCTAAAAATATCTATTAGATATAATTCAATTAGCATATAATTCACCCACTAAATTTAGAGTCAGGCAACCATCACCAAAGTCAGCTTAAACGTAACTTTCATTATTCTATAAAGAAATTCTGGATCAATTGCAGTCATATTTTATTTTCCCTAACCTTCCACTCTTACCCAGCCATGAGCAACATCTACTTCCTGTCTCTCTAAGCATCCCTACTGGGGCTGGTGAAATGGCTCAGTGGTCTAAAGCACCTACTTAGAACAAGCTAAGCAAAGCCCAGGGACTGCGGTTCAATCCCCCAGCCCCCCATGCCAGCCAGCCCCGCCCCCTCGTGGGCTGAGCTGGCCACACACACACACACACACACACACACATAAAATAAATAAAATTTAAAAAAAATAAGTATCCCTACTGATTTTTCATTTGAATAATATTATACAATATATGGTCTTTTGTGGCTACTTATTCTAGTTGACATAGTATTTTCAAGTTGCATTGATGTTTGACCACGTATAAATATTTTGTTTCTTTTTATTGCCATATAATATTTTATTATATGGATATGCCACTTTTAATTTAACCACTTATCAGTGGATGGACATTTGGGTTGTTTCCCATCTTTAGCTACTATGGGTAATCCTGCTAGGAGCATTTGTGTACAAGTTTTATGTAGACATACGTTTTTATTTTCACTTAATATCTAAGCTGGCTGAAGTTGCTGGTCCCCTCAGGAATGTGACGCTGTAAACTTAACAGTAGAAGGAACTGTCATGCTGTTGTCCAATGTGGTCGCACCATTTTACATTCTCCTCAACAGCATTTGAGGGTTCTGGTTTCTCCACATCCTCAACCACTCTTGTTAACGAATATCTTTTTTTATAACAAATATCTCGGTTCAAGTGGCATCTCTCTGTGGTTTTGATTTGCATTTTCCTAATGACTTTTGATGTTAGGGGTCTTTTGTTCACTATTGTCCATTTCTATACCTTCTTTGAGAATTTCTGTTAAAATTCTTTGCCTGCTTTTAAATTTGGGTGTTGTTGTTGTCATTGTTGCAGAGTTGTAGAAGTTCTGCATAGGCCGATTGTTAATTTCTTATCACATAAGTGCTTTCCAAATAGTTTCTCCCATCCTGAGTTGTCTTTTGACCAAAGCTTTTTGGTGAAGTCCAATTTATCTTTTTTTTTTCTTTCTGTTAATGTTCTTAATGTTACATCTAAGAAGCCACTGCCTCATCGAAGGTCATAATGATTTACATTATAGTTTCTTCTGAAAGTTTTATAGTTCTAGTACTTATGTTTGGAATTTTGACCCATTGGAATTAGTTTTTGCATATAGAGAGAGATCAGATTCCAGTTTTGTTTGTATGTGAATTATTTTCTTAATTTCACTTTTAGCTTGTTCATTGTGAATGTATAGAAAGTAATTATTGTGCACTTAGGTTTTCATTTATTTCCATCCATCGTATCTTAGAACTTTTACTGACCTATTTATTCTAATAGTTTTTTGGTGGACTTCTCAGGATTTCCTGTGTAGAAAATGATGACACATGCAGAAAGAGAGTTTTGATTCCCACCTCCCATATGGATGACTTCTTTTTCTCACCTAACTGCCATAGCTAGAACCTCCAACACAGTATTGGGTACAAGTGACAAGAGCAACCATCTTTGTCCTGTGATCTTTAGAGGAAGATGCAGTCTTCTACCACTAAAAGTGATGTTAGCTATAACTTTCATAGCTTTTTTAAATCTGTTTTTGAAGAGACATTATTCTCTAGTATCATATAGAGGATAATATAATTCCTTACTGCTATGTGATAAAATAACTCTACCTTTTCTTTTGTTTTTGTCCTCTTCATGGGCTTTGTAAGCTCACAATTGTAGCTTGTGAGCATTACACAAAACTACAAGTAAATTCAATAGATATCTCACTGAAAAACAAGAAGGAAAAGTAACATTTTTCAAGGCTTTTGAGACTTGATATCCTTTGTATTTTAGGTGGAGTTTTTATTAGATAGTCCAGTAAGTTGCATAATAATTTACTTTCCAGAAAAGTTCAGATGAAATAAAAATTTATTAAAACCCATGAATCATTCTTGAAAATAAAGGGGGTTTGTGACACAGCATAGAAGCCTTTCCAATACTACTCAATTACTAGAAGCTAGCATTTTTCAGTGATTCTTGCTAAGAATGTCAGGTTGATCTATTTGTTTCATGGGCATAGATGATATATGTTAGAAAATTTATCTTGAATACCTACTGTATGTCAGATAGCACATAGTTAGGACTTGTACAGGATATAAAATGTAACCTAGACAGTTCCAAAGAGTTATATCAGTGAGAGGCCATACACCTTCTGGTTAACCATGGGTGTTACTTTTAATTATTTATAATAAATACCATTAAGTATTTACCAATTAATAGAAATGTAAACTCTAGAACTTGAACTACTGTTAAAGGAGAAGAGTAATCATTTGAGAAGTGAAGTTTGGGACTATAATAAGTTGGGAAGATCAATACCGAGATTCTGCTTTTAGTTCATTACTAAGTCACCGTTGTTCTTTGGGCCTTGTAATCAAGTAACAGTTTTGAATTCTATTAGGGATGTCAAAACAAGTTGTACCTTGTATGTAGAGTGAGGAAGTAGTAAGTTTTCCTATTATTCTTAATATTATATTGAAAAAGTTTTTGAGCCTATCCACAACCACAACAGAAAGTTATCATTAATCAGTCATCTCTAGCACAACACATTGTAGATTGTTCCCTATTTGCAATTCCTTGATTCATTAATATAAGTGACTTCCATCAGTAATACTCCATGTGACTTATTGATAGTACCCACGCATTCACTGATAATAAAGCCAGTTTTCCAAGTGCTCTTGAGAATGAAGCATCAATGAAGAAATTCTTGTCCAGTTATAGAAAGCAAAAGACAGTCAATAAGAGAGGAAACGCACTGAAGAAAGGGGACAGTTTCCGTCTGTGGAACGAGTTGAGGAGCTCTGTCGGGAGATGCCCCTGACTTGGAACCAAGAACCAAGCCATTGCGGAGAGGCTTCCGACCTCTGGGAACTCGGAAGTAGTAAGTTCTGCATAAATTGTAGAGGAAAGCGATTTAGAAAGAGAAAGCGAATGAAGTATTTTGAATAACCTTATCATTAGCTGGCATTTACAGAACTTGCATAGTGTCTTGAGGAGCTCAGAGTATAGTTCATGATTGTTGCCCTGGGTGAACTATGGGATCAGTAGCCACAGAGCAGCCTGGCAAGAGCCTTCCAAGGAGTATGTGCAGTAACTCTGAGAACTCAGATCGGTGGGCAGACAACCAAAGATCACTTCTTGGAAGAACTTGGACTTTCACAGAATGATTGGTGCTGGAGTTACTTTCCAGTCTGTCTATTAATTAAAATAGTGTTGAGCACTGCAGCACTCCAGGCACTGTGCCTTGTGGGTAGCAAACAAATTTAGAAATGTGATCTCTCCAGACAGTGAGCTCACAAAGGAAAATAAGGCCGAATAGTAACTGTGTAGTGTGACAGATGAGCCCCACCAACGGAAGGAATTAGCAGTTTGCACCATCAATTCCAGGAGAGTGAGCCTGGGGGACACTGACTAACCTGTCTGAGATCACACAGTTAGTGGGTACGAAGGCAGGTTTGAGTTCAGGTCATCCTGGCAGCAGAATGTCTGCCATGACTTCTACTTCACGCTGCGCCCATGATGTCTCATGATTAACAGAGAAAGCAGCTTGCGGAGGAGGTAACGTTTAAGCAGCATCTTGAAGTAGGCATAGAGTGAGCGAGATAGCTCAGCGGACTAAGCACCTGCCTTGGAAGCGCAGGGACGAGGCTTCATCCCCGGTTGTGCATGCCGCACCAGCCCCGCCCCCGGCGCTCGCTGATTCTGCGACCGAGTCTGGGTGTGGTGGCACCTGTAATCCCAACTCAGGGAACGCTGAAAACAAGAGGATCACCACGAGTTCAAGCTGCATAGTAAGACCCTGTACCAAATACAGAAATGAAAAACAAGAAAGTTTTTCTTGTACATAGAAAAAACATCAGCCTAGACATTCTAGGTAGGTTGGAATAGGATCAAATGAGTTAAGGACATTGATGATTGGAGCCTACAGTGACATTTGTGCCAAAGGAGGCTGATGGGATATTAGAAGTCTTGTGTGGAAGTTTCTATGTGGTTGAGAGCGTAATGGATTCTGAGAGTATCTGTGAGGAAATCTGAGAGTTACAATTTGAGAATGCTGTTTACTGAAGCTGCTATGTCCCGGCTTTCTGTCCATAATGTACACCTTCACGAAGCCTGTGTCTACACAGGGAGAGACACGTGGGCTGCTGTGTCAGCGGTCTGGATAGATCTGGGCTATGTAGGGCCCTGCGGAACCTCTATGGCTGAGATGTCTGTGAAACTCCTGATGCTTGCTTCAGACCAGACTCTGGTGAACTCTTAGTCACTCTGACTTTGTTTTCCTGTTCTTTTAACGCGGGAAGCTGTATCAGTCAGC